GGCCGGCACATGGGCCGCGGCCTGCCCCGCCGCCCTGCCGGGGCGCCTGCCCTGTTGCCGGCACCTGCCTGAGGGGAGGCTGCGCCCCGAAGGGCTCGCACCAGAAGACGGGTCTAATAACAAAAACCAGCTTTGCTCTTGCTGCATGTCTTCCTGGTTTTCTTTCTGATTTTAGTGGCAGGGCGACCACCTTTACTTTCATTACCGCGCCATCTCCCACCCCCCACTTTCCTGGTGCTTTTATTGACCAGGGTGAGGGAAAGCGACTGGAGCACAAGCTCCTTGGTTTGAGGTCTCCTTTGTGTACAAGGTGGTTTCCACCTCTTCGTGCTCCTGAAGAACAGGCGATAGTACTTTGGAAGTAGGTTTGGTGATGGTGAGGGCAGAAGTAGTACACCTGCCTTTCAGTAGTCAAACAGGTCAGTCAGGAGGCAGTAAGTGACTCTTTTTGTCCTGTGTCTGGGAGTAAGAGGGCTGCTTTTGTCACCCCCTTTCTTGATAATGTCGTTGGGCTGTAAGTATGGGTATCGTAACTCACTTATCTGAAGTGAGTACTCAGATTGGCAAGAAATACCATGAAAACTGGAGGGGTGGACAGTGAATGTACACAGGCTGTGTATGCAGAAGAGGACCTGGCAATAGGGACTCTGGGGAGATAATGCTATTGATTGGAGATTAAAAACAAACCATGACATAACTAGTAAAAGCAGCATGGTCTAAGGACTGCTTGGAAGGAAAAAGACATATGAAGTTAAGTTTGTGAAAATGCTTTCTGAAAATCTGAAGAGCAGTATACAATGAATAGTAAATATTTTTCTTTTTTTTTCCTGTTTCAAGAAGCTCCGTGCTAAGTGGATGATCACATGTTTGTCATTGTCTGTAGGTAAGGTTGAAGTCAGGTCTCTGCTGAAAAAGTAGTATTAAAGACCATTAAGTTTCTTTGTTACTTTAGGTTATTTTTGAAGAGTAAAATAGTTGTTTTTTATCAAAAGAAACAAGATCTGGTACTTACTGTAGTAGGCAAGGCAATAGGAATGTCCATGCAGTCTATCAGATCCTTGTGTGCCTTGGATCCCACTTCTTACACAGAAAGGATAATAGGTAACCAGCTATATTTACAATGCCGCTCTTTCTTTCTTTATTGCATGTCCCTCTCCCCCAAGACATACAGGCAGAGAAAGAGATAGCAACTTGTGTTTCAGCAGTGAGATGAAGTACCTCAAATAAGGTCTCTACAAACTGTTAAAGACTTGTTGACGATTACTTACACTCTTCTGCAGAAGCAAAATGGCAGTAAAACTCTTTAGCATCTTCTGGTCTTTTGATCAGTTACAAGGCCATGTGTTCAGCTGTTAATCTAAACCGTCTCCAGTAATACATGTGATTTCTTGGAGGGAGAAGTTCTCTATGACTGTTCTTCCTCTCTTGCTGTGGGACAAAGGATTAACTTAGACTGCATTATAATGTTTTGGTTTTTCACTAGCTTTGAGCAGGAAGTGTATTTCCTCAGATACTTTCATAATGTAATACTTAAAATTTATGTTAATGAAAAGTGACTGCAGTTCTGGAATGCAGGGTGGGTTTCTGTGTATATAGAATTTGATGTGCCTTTTTAACAGAACCGTACTTTGGGTTTTTCCTAACCTAGGCAAAGCATACTGTGCCAGGCAATTAGATCCTGGCCCTCCCGAGCTGTCTTCTCCTTCATGGGGTTTCTGTCAGTTATGGGCAGAAACAAATTCTTGTGACTGTAGAATTATTCTTCTAGCAAGCATTTTGCTGGCTTTCACAAACTGCCTATGCCCTGGTAATGTGTGCTGTGGAAGCGGTAACAATGATTACAACAGTTCAGTTGAAATCCACCTCCGTTTTAATTAGAGATGAGTCCCCTGACATTAACTTAAACCTTAATGGCAAATTCTAACTACTCCAAATGTTCAGTCTCTGTATGCGGTTTTCTGGATCCAGGCCTACTTATTACTTTAGCTTTTTTTCCCCTCTTAGGACTTTCAGAAGGATCTTTTCAGTGTTCATTTTCTTTGCATGGTTCAATTGTGTCTATGCATTACTTCTTAAAAGAATAGTTCTTCATAAATACCCTAAAACACTGTTTCCATGTTCCTGAAACGAAACCCAATGTTTTCTGCTCTTAATTGTTTTCAATTACACTTTTACAATAAAGTATCTCAACTTTATTCATGTAATATTAGTAAATTTACATTTACTGTTCTCTTGCTTGTCTTTCTCAACAGTTGAATAGTTGCTCTATAAGGTTTCCAAGTTCTGGGAGGCAAGTCTGTTCAAATGCTGTACCTTAAATCACTGTTCTGAGCCTGTGTACTTCTTCAAGTACATGCAGAATAGTTTATAGTATTTCTTAGTAGGGAGAATGGAGGCACTGGGAGACTGAGTAGTGCCATAGGAGGCTGTAAACCTGTTTAACCAGTTCACATTGTTTGTGTCAGCAGCCAAGTCAGTGAAATAACTTGAGAAAGGTATTTTGTCTTTTAATGATTGTGGTGGAGGATAAAAATGCAAGGAGAACCAGAAATTCTAGAAAAAGCATCTGGCTTTAGTAAATGCGCTACCAATAATTTCAGAGTGTAAAATTCCTTTTAAAAAAAAAAAAAAAAGGCCTTGTGGGCTTTGAAATATAACTTCTAAAGATAGTCTATTGATAATTTCTAGAAAGAGCTAGTATGTATGTATTCAAGGCCTGGATTTACCTAGAAACTTTAGCTTGAACAGAACGTAGCTTTCTTTTTTGTTGGTATATATTGTAGGTGTTAGCATGTTGAAGTTGCATGCATTTTTATTTGCCTTAAGATGCAACTCAAGACTTTAGGGAATGTGTGATTAAGGATTATCTTTACTGCAGAATTAACTTGAATGTTCAGTTTAATTTGAGTCTCATCTATACAAACCTCTTACTTAAATGAGCCAACAGCATGTCTCCTAGTTTAGTATGCTGTTTGCTTTGTCTGCAGTGTAAGGGGGAGTGTGGCCAGCAGTGAGGGACATGGTTTTGCTTCTTTTCTGTGACACTGGTGAGGCTGTATTTTGAATATGCTCTTTGGTTTGGTGCACCACTGTTAAAGAAGGCTGCTGAGAAACTGTAGAGGGTCCAGCCAGTATGTTTAGGGGCATAGGGCATATGATCTGTGAGGAAGGATTGAGGGAGCTGGGCTTTAGTCTTGCAAAGAGGAGACCAAGGCGACTTAGAGGCAATCTAATTGTGACCTACATCTACACAGAGGCACACTCTTCTCAGTAGTAAGAGATGATAAAAGAAGGGACAGCAGCCACGAGTTTTAGCTTGGGAGGTTCAAACGGGACACTAGAAAAAACTTCACAAGGAGAGTGGCCCATCACTGGGACAGGTTACAGTTTTAAGCTGACCTAATTTGATGTTGACAGTATTCCTGCTTCAAACTGGAGGCTGGAGCAGATGTACTCAAGAGCTTTCTTCCAGGTAACACTTTGGTTCTGTGAGGATATATTTCCATACATGGAGTCTCATGCTTCTTCCCTCCTAGACGTTTTCACCTCAGTTCTGTCTGTGGTCACTTCATGGAGGAAGAAGATACACTGCATAGGCACTCGACTTCCTGCGGTATGTCTCTCAAGTACAGAAGTTAAAGAAGTGAAAATCAGTCATTCAGAACTCCTTGTTCAGAGAATCCTCTTAACGAGTCTGTCAGGGAAATTGTTCTAGCTGCCTTTTATTAAAAGATTTTTTTTTAGTTGTTTTTTCTCTCTCAGGCTCAACTTGATTGTTCAGTTCTGAACCATGTGGCCTATGGGTTTATTTACATTTTTTTCTTATCAGCTTTCAAGTCTTGATTGGTAAGATAACCATACACAGCATATCTGGTAAGCCATGTGGCCTGTCAGCCCTCGGTACTATGGTGAAGGTAGCAGCAGTGCATTAGAAAGATAAATATGCAGGGCCAAGTTATGGTACACTTGTCAAGTCCCGCTGTAAAAGTTAGTCTCTTCCTTTCTAAAAATCTGTCTCAGAATAAAACAGGCATAAAGAATAAGGTAGATTCATCCTTATTCAGTCCTTCACTTTTAAGAAATTAACTTTAACAGGTGTATGATGAAGTATGAGAGAGGCTTAAACTGGGGAGACATAATTCTGCAAGTTTTCTTGTACACACTGTTCCTGATGAAGCACATGTGAAATGTACCAGCACCCTTTACAAAGACGCTAATGCTTCGCTTTCATGTCTGAAAATACCTCAGTTGGTACAGGCATAAGAAGCAAATGTGATCTTGGAATGTATCAGGCTGGTGACTCAGTCATCTTGTGATAAGTTAATTATGCACAATCTCTTCTTCCGACTTATGCACTACTAGTCTATTGAAATCCTTGACTATTCCCTAGGTGTATGTGATGTTAAATGATCTTTTACTTCATGTTATGCTTTGTACTACTACATCTCACCCTGCTGTTTTTTTGTCTCCAGGCTTTGGGGCTACAGAATTCCTTGTGTGTCCTTTTGCTCAGCGTTTGCTGTTGGTTGTGCTTCTGAGTTTGTTTCCTGATGTGCAATTGAACTACTTTAAAAACTAGTCCATTGGGAACTCATTAATACACCCCTCCATTCTGCTCGTTTCTATTTCATTCTCCCCTTTAGTGAATTTTTGACATAGTTTACAATTCTTGGTCTGATTTTTACTGTTCAACAGGATTCTGATGTATTGGATGTTTTACTGAAGTTCAGTTTATATCTGTTTCAGTCATCTGCTAGATGAGTTTATAATCTAAGTATGGTTTATTCTAGTAATCTGGTATCCTTTGACTATATTGCATTTTTGTTTTAATGTGTCGTGTTGCATTTTTATCTTAATTTTTCTGGTTAATTCCTATTTCTAACATTAAAACAGTTTTGAAGCTGATGTTTTGTGGAGAACCTACACGCTCATGGCTGCCTTTCATCTTACTACATGTATGAATAACACCCTTCTGTTCATCAGTAAGCAACATGCCTCACTGTGTTATATGTGTGGATCTCCCTTTGGCTTAATTTGGGGAGGCAAGGAAAGAGGTGGCCTTAAAAAGAGCTGTGAAACTTATTTTGGTGGTGGCCTCATGCATCTGCATTGCCTGCTAGAAAAATGTGGGAGGAATCGTAGTTATTGATAACTCGAATTGCAAGCAAGACTGTTTAATCCTGCTTAAAGTAGGGAAGACTATGACTTCAGGCTAGGTTTCTCAGTGCTTTATCCAGCTGGGCCTTGAAAATGTCCAAGGATGGAAACTGCACAACTGCTCTAGGCAATTAGATTTTTACGTTTTATCCAGTCAGAAGCTCTCCTGTTTGTCCATTATGTCTGTTGTCTTTTGTTCTCCCACTATACATCACTGAAGAGCCTCACTCTGTCATCTTGACAGCTGTGGAGAAGTTATCTAGAAGGTACAGGAAGGCTGCTGTTACAGTCCCTCCAAACCATCTCTTCTTCAGGCTGGAGAAGTTCTGTTCTCTTAGCCTCCTCTCGCAGCCCCGACTACCTTGTTGGCCCTTCACTGAAATAGTTTTCATTTCTTAATGCCTTTCTTACGTTGAAAGGGACTGCGGGGGCGGGGGGAGGGGGGAGGGCGCAAACCAGGACCGTGACACTAGAGCCAGTATTCCGAAAGCAGTCTGAGTGCCAAGTTAAGGAGAATAGCTGCTTCTCTCTGGTGCTCTCAGTCTGCTGGCTATGCTTCTGTTAATACAGCTGAGGATGCTGTTGGCCCTCCTTGCTGCCAGGGTACGCTGCTGGCTCGTGTTCATCTTTCTGCCTACCAACACCTTCAGGGTTTGAAAAAAACCCTGAAAAGCAGATCTGCTCCCTGGCCACACGGTGCCAGCCTGTACAACACAAGGGGCTTTTCCTTCCCATGCAGAGGACTGTTGTCCTGTTGAATTTCATAAGGTTCCTGTCAGCCTGTTCCTCCAGCCTCCTCTGAATGGCAACCCTGCCCTCAAGCAGGTTGACTGGTCCCCCCAGTTCAATGTCATCTGCAAACCTAATGCAATAAACTTGTACAGTAAGATGTTTACCGAAGCATTGGGTCTAACTTCACATATACAGTGGATCTGTTTGCATGTTAGCAGAGCATCATTAGGATAACCTGACTGATTTTGAGCTCTTAGAAAAACTAGGTGCCATTGGCTTAAGTATGATAAGGCAAAGTGTAAATTCTTAAAGATATTTAAGGATAACTTGATATTGCTGCTTGATGGTCAGACTGCTTATGGGGTATTTGTAGACTTGAAGATGTACAACTGAATGGGCTTAAATATCTGAAAAAGAAGGACAGTAATTATCAGAAAAGTTGACTTCCTTTGCTGTCTTAGTAGAGCAGTCATGATTTTTGCAAGTTTTCAATAATATATACATTTGGTCTGCAGAGAAGTTGTACAGTAGGTGGAAATTGCAGTTAGGTATTCTCTAATGTATTGAACTGTATACATATATATTTTAGATAGAACAGGGAAGGAAGCTTACTGTTGTTAACATATACTATGGCATAATCCTAAAATTTGGTGAAGCATTTCTGTTTACCCTGAATGTGAAATGTTATCTTAGAAGAAAGCCCGTGTGATGCACATACTGGGAGTGTCATGCATGGAGCTGGCTTTATGTCTCCTAGCCATTTGGAGAAGTGGCCTGCCTTAAATTTGTTTCTATTGAATTGTTTTTCATCCTGAAATCATGCATTTAATTATTTTTGCTGATGTGCTATGCAGCTGACGGGATAGCAGAAAAGAGGGTCATGTGTTAGGGGGATCACAAAATGAACTTGAATCAGTGCTGAATCTGTACTGCAGTAAAAAGCTGTTCTGATGTGTTTGAAGTATTGATGAACATTAACAAGGTCTTGGATGCATTTGGGGTTTTGCTTGAGAAAAATGTGAACAAAAGAATCATGTGGAGAGCAGTGATACGGATCAAGAGTTTTGAGAACAGGACTTACTAGGAAAAACTGAATCATAGAATATATAGCAGTTGCTTAGCAAGAGGAGACCAAAGGGGGCATTGTTTATGACACTGCCTTGCTCTGAAAAACCACCATTTTGGCTAGAAAATTGCAGGCTACTAGCATCTTGTAGGCTACTATTAGGGCCTCATTGTTTCTGGTTCCTAAGACATTGGAAGATAACTGAAAATAATATTCCAGTAATTAGCATAAGCATATCTAACTGCAGGAGGGGGAGAAGGGTCAGTGAGACAGTTGCTCTACTGAGATGTAGCCCCTGCTGTTAGGAACCCCAAGTCACCAAGCCTTATGGAATATAAAGATTTCCTACTTTAAAATTTTTTATTTCTTTATGAATAGATTGTAAAGATCTAATTGTTATTGAACAGAACTAATCAAATAAAGATGTAATATCTATGCTTCCTCTGTTTTATCAATTAGAAAGTTGTTTCATGTGATGCTAAATAACAACGTACTTGAGAACATTTCAAAGAAAGACTACTTTTTTTCCTTACCTTCTTGTGATTCAGTTTTTAAAAATCTTTACCCCATATGTGCTGCATATTTTTTTTAAGAACTGTGAAAAATTGTGTCCTAGACAAGCATTTAACACGGCTGCCGCCTCTGCCTTTTTCTTAAACACATGTAAATCTAATGCATAACTCGCAGTTCTCGTTGGGGGGATAAATCATCTTTTTCCTATCTTCTTGACCATAATAAGGTCAGTTATTAATTGTAAACAATTTGCATTAATTGTTGACTTGTCCAGCTTACTTGCTTTATCTCAAAGGATACTTGTTTGGTTTATCAATTTATTCCTCTGGAAAAAGTGATCTTTGTAGTATCTGTTAACATTGAAATGAATAGAAGATCAGCAGCTGAGAAACACTGCAAGTTATTTGAAATTTAAGCTTATCATGCAGAAATACAGTAGGGTAAAGGAAAACTTAATACATTTTGCTGTATGCAGGGCTAGAAGATACTCCTAAGCAGTTCTTGGCATGTACGATTGCATTGTTACTTACAGTACAAATCTTGATTTCTCTTTACCAGCTTTTATTGCTGGAAGTCCAAAGGATGTACTAGAAGCATCAGCAAACAGAAAATTGAAGGTCTACAATTCAGCTCAGATGGCATACTAAGAAATGAGAAATGTCTCTCTTGTTATGTCAATTTGAACTAGCAGTACCACAGGAATATTTTCAGTCAACAAAAATTCGGCAGCACAGAGGCAGTTAGTAGAACTCACCTACAAATGTTGGAATTTAACTTCCGTTGTCTTCAAATTACAGTTGAATAATGCCACTGATTATTACATATTTTAAGGTCAGAGCTGCCTCACTGAAAGCTGTATGTTCCTAAAACATAATGTTCCTAAAAACCCTTTTCCTGTCTTGTATAAATATGTTGGAACAGTAAGTCCTTCTCTCTGGTTACGTTGATGATCGTATGTAACCGTTCTTACGCTACAGTCATTTAATCTTAAGTTTCTGTATGCATGCAACCAGCTTTCAGACTAAATATTGGTCTGGTGTCATTTTGAACACTGCCTTCTGTATCTTTCTAGTTCTAGTCTTTTAAGTCCCAGACAGTTGTAATATTTTCTTGTAATTTGTGGATCTGACATGTACTTTTTCACTTCAGTGTTTCAAGCTGTTGTGGAAGCCAAGTCCTACGAAATGGTAGTTCAGAATTAAAGCATCAACCCTGATGTTACAACAGGTCTGGTCTTGTTTCTGTCTAAAACAGCATGACTAGAGATCTGATAACCTAGCACCACAGATCCCCTTCTTAAACAAGTTACTGTTGACTCTTGAGGTAGTGCACAGAGTGGTTGGTGGTGTCAGGTTTTTCTTATACCTGTGGTCTGAGAACACCAGCCTTTGGTAGTCTTGCTGGCTTGCTGCTGGCAGGTGAGGTAATGATTGTGTGTAACCTGACAAGATGAGGTCATGTGCAACAGAGTTATCAGGAAAATAAGTAAAATTAAAGGATGAGACTGATTCCCATTGGTGCAGTGGTCTTTTCAGACCGCTGCATCCTATGCAGGCAGTTGTTTCCACTTTTACATGCTTCCTAGAATCCTAGGGCACAAGAATGGCTGAAAGATTTACTTTCCTCTCAAAAATAAATAGCCTGCTCATTCAGTGAGAGATAGTTGGAGGCTTTGCAGTATGCAGTCAGGGAGGTTGAATTCATGTCTCTGCTACTCTGACCTATTTTCACAGTTGAAATACCTCCTAGTTTTGTTTCTGAGATGTTAGGTGAAATGGTCGGGTTCTGTGTGAACAGGCAGCTCGAGCACTGGGGCTGTGGGCAGAGGTGTGGTGTCTGATAGCTGTGCCATGGCCAGCTGGGTAGTCAGCGCACATGTAGCTCAGCGCTGCCTGCCTCCATCTCCTCTCGACTCGGGGGACTTGGGTCACAGTAGGTTATGAAACACTTGAATTCTGTATCCATGATGGTGAGGGGGAAATAGAGCTATCACAAGAGGGAAGGAATGAAAGTGGGCACTGAGGGGAAGGGTGGGAATTACCGACTTCGGTAAGAGAGGGATTGACATTAAGAAAAACTATGAAAAACTACAGATTGTAAGCTCCTGGGGAATTTGTTGTAGGAGTTCTCCTGACATCTGCTTTCCTCCAAGGTGCCTCCAACAGGGACCTTCCTTCCCCACCCCTACCCCCCAGTTGCTTTTACTTTCCTGAAGTTACCAGAGTGCTCTGAAGTCTAAAGCACAGTAGGTCCTTCTGCCCTGAAGAACAAATAACTTCCCTTTTTTATTTCTGGCATAAGGAACAGAAGTGGTTATTTGTGCAAGACTTTATTCTACTGTTCAATAATTGGAAAGGGAGAAGATAACTTAACTTGACCTCTTCGAGTGGTACCTGTCTGTAAACTCTTTAGACACTTAACACACAAACTAGTAAGAAAAAGGAAACTTAAATTTGGATTAGGAAGAAAAAAACCACCCGCAACAACGTTGGGCCATATACAAATGAAGTGTGTATATACATTTGTAGTATGGGGCTTCTTTATTTCTGTCTAATGGAGGGGAGCGGGGGCAGAGGAAGAAGATGCTTATTCTACAATAGGAATGCTCTATGTATAGATTATTAAGGCATGTGTGGGATCCCGGATGAGATCAGTCTTTCTTCAGCTGCATCCTTTGACTTTTGCTTAAGAGTATTTGAACCAGACTGCTGTTGAAAGAAAAAGATTAGGCTGCTGGCAAAGCTTTGATATGGGCTGAAAAATTTGGAACAGCTACAGTCAAGCAGCTGTTGCAGTTTTTCAGTAGCTTGCCCAGGAGGCACCTGTTGTGTTGCAAGGTCAGGTAGAAACTTTGGTAACAAACTATTTGACCTGGAAGAGGAGAATATTGGCAACTGTTGGTCTACAGACAAACTTCTATGTATTTTATTCATTACTGAGTTGGCTTAATTTCCCCTAGAGACATTTTTAGTATCTTTAAAAACAATTAATATAATCAGAAGTAAAGGTTTCTTTATAGGTAACTTTTTAAAAGCTGCAATTAGCAAATAAGGGAAGAAATACCTTTTAATATATTGAATGAAGATAGTAGGATGCAGAATTAATGTTTAGATTTTCAGAATTTCTGGAAGTGTTTAAAAGTAGGCTTAAAGTCTTGACTGTCATTCATAGCTATAAAAACTTACCATAATACCATTTATAGATCAATTTTTATCTTGTAGGTATGGCAACATTCTCCCTCAGACTTTTTTCAATATATTAAGAAAAGTAGAATTAGTCCAGTATTTATTTCTTTATTATATAAAGAACACCCCAGGAGAGTACTTACATTGAATCTGCAAGAAATCACTTTTATTGTTGCCCTCTGCAGCTTGCCCAATATAGCAAATGTAAGGTATTTGCTCAGGGTTTTTTTGTGTGTGTGTTTTGTTTCTTGTTTTTTGATACTGCAGAATTTCCTGTGTATTTTGTGTTGGTTTTTTTCCCTCTCATATCTTCATAGATAACTATCCATGTAGAAATGGGCAGGGGGGATATACGAAATTCGTGCAAGTATTTTTCTGGTCTCTTTTCCAGTGTTGGAGTCAGGATGCTAATTAAAATTAGTAGTGCATGGAAGTTGCTGTCAATTTATAGCAAGTTTCCTTAGTACCTCGGGTGAGGCTTAAATAGATGTACAGCATGTTTTCTATTCTCAGTCTAGCCATGCTAAACTATTTTAAAATAATATATTTTGTAGGGTTTGTTTCTTCTATTCAGTTTGGTTTGAAATATTTGACTAAGTATATTTGGTTATGGTAACAGAAATTTGAATGTATCAAAATGGGAGTATAACCAATCCCATTGCAGCATGAAAACCTGACATCTCATTTGTGTAAGTATCTTGGGCTCCTTAATAGCAGATATTTAACTGTTGAAGGTGGAGGCCTTGTGACAGAGACCTAACTTCTTAAGAGATTAATCTCAAAAAATGCATGTGTGTATATAAATGGATATGTTAAAAACCCACTTTTCTAGAGATGTAGAATTAAATGCGCTCTGTTGAGTCATGTAAGTACACTGTTGCATTGTCTTTATCATAAATATCAAGCCAATTAGTATCAAAAAGTGGAGTATACTTCAGGTACAAATTGTTGTTGATTTGGCTTATGAAATGGAGGTCATCAAAATACAATGCCCCAATAAAAAGAACAGTTCTTAACTTGTGTTGTTTATTTAGAATCTTTATTGTTTATGCATAGGCTGTATGTGTTTGCTACACACAGGATAATTACGAAGTTAAACACTAATGCTCTCTGTTTTATAAAAACCTTTAAATACTCTGTACTTATCAAACAGCATTTAGACAAAAAATCCCAACTGATTAGATCAAACATACAGGAACTCTAGATCATCTCCCCTCTAGGCAAAAGCAGGCTGGGTATGATCTAAAACCAATTAAACACAGTAGTTCCAGAAGTGTTGCTTGCCTCATGGGGTCAATCTCCTATTTATTTAGTCTTCCTTCATTAATAGCTTCTGAGATAGCAGCAAGTACTTATGCAGTTAATTGATTCCCAGTTATCACCGGTTTATATTGGTCAAATTCTTAAAGCATTGCAGAGGAATGAAGTCCCTATTCCAGCAGCTGGTTGTCTGTTAGAGTCAGCGGGAGCAAGCTGTGTAACTGGTGAATTAGATGTCTGCCCACGGGGCTGTAGTCAGCAGTCTGTGACAGTACTGAGAGAGGAAGATGAATTTAACACGCACGTTGCCTCAATTTTTTTCAGACACTGGCCAGAAGAAGACCCCAGACAAGAAAGATGGGCGACGAATGTCTTTTCAAAAGCCTAAAGGGACTATTGAATATTCTGTAAGTTACTGCTTTATTGTTAGAATGTCATTGCATAGCAAATGCAGACTTAAAGTTTCATTACAAAATATAAGCAAAACAGTAATGTGCATTACCTTTAATCTTAGAATTCTGTGTATCTGATAGCTTATTTTGACAGAAATTAAATCTGAAATTAGCTGGTAGTACTTGAGTAATGCTTTTTTTTATTTGGCTTTTTCTTTAAGTTACTTTTTTTTTTTCCCTCAAAAAAACCAAGCTAATCAATCTGTTGACTAGTTCATCTTTAGGTAACTAGTTAGAAATAGTAAATAACATTAATTATAAAATCATGTGCAAATTCCCTGCTTTCAGCATTATTAATAAACTTGACATCAAGAGAAATAACAGAATGAAATTGGGGGGGAAGCTATATCTTGATACTGACCTTCTGGTATTCTCTAATTTTCATAAATCTATACCTTTTACTGTACAGTTCTGTTTCTGCAGCAGTATCTGAAAATAGAGCCTTTCTCTGCCTGTTCTGTTCTTGAAATGACCCTCAAACTGTGCTGCAGTCAGCTTTTCAGATTTGTGGTTACTAAGGGAAACTGAAGTGAGAAGTATCTGTCTTGTGTTATATACTGGAAATATAATTAAGCCTATAAATAATGCTTATAGGGTTGACATTAAAATAGGGAAAGTCTGTCACAGTTATCTTTGAATGCTTTTGAAGTCAGACATGATAAAATAAAAAAGAGAACTTCTTTATAAAAAGTCTTTACTTGATCTCTTGGTGTTATCTTATTCCAAGAACAACAGAAATGGGGGAGACTTAACTCTTAATGTTACACTAAGCCAAGCTGTGATATGGCTTAACTACTGACAAGGCTGTGATAGTCATTTGGAGAGGGACAGAGGATGTGTGTATTGGAGCGAGAAGCACTTCATTAGTGTGGCTTGTATTGGGAATTTGAATATCATTCTAGCCTATACTAAAGACTTCCTTGAAGTTGAGATTCAGAAAAGAAATTTCTTCTGCTTAAGTTCTAGCAGCTGAAGAATGTGTAAATGTGACTGTTGTTTCTATTACATTAACCCCATTTTGTCTGAAATAATTGGAAAAAATGTTCAGGTGTAACTCTAAAACTGGGGTTCCTCTTCAGTCATTAAATCCCTTAACTTGGTCTCTTGCCACCATGTGCATGCACTTACCTTGGTATGTAAGATTCCAGGCAAAGCTAAAGCACCAAGCTTTTTTTAAATTCATATGTTTGTGTCAAGTTGTCATGTACTTCTGGAGGTTTTTGTGTTCCAGTAGGTGGGGTTTTATTTGCAAAAATAACTTTCTTAATACATACTGAAATATGGATCATTTCCTTGTGAGTCAAAAAGACAATTCACAAGAATCAAAGACTTCTTGTCTTGCAACTTGGTCCAGCTTCTAAAGGAGCCTCTTGTGTGTATGGAACATGGCGCATTTCAGCTTCACAAATGCAGTATTCTGTCTGGTCTTGCTGTATCTCTCACTTGTAAAGTACTTAAGAACATTAAGTTTTCAGAGCTTTTGGTTATGTGTTGTGCATGTATGTCTTAATAAAAATACATAGATCTAACCTTTAGTGAACCATATATTCACTGTATGTATGAGAGGTCTGCGAACTATTGTGATAATTTGCTGCTGTTATTATTTATGACTTTATACCATGTGGAGAGATGAACTTAAGTCTGGTTTCTGCCTTCATCCTCCTGCCTCTCAAAGCAACAACACAGACACGCATACACACACACACACACACACGCGCGCATGTATTTATATGTCTGCATGTGTTGCTGCTTTGGGAAGTAGTAGAAGGACGAAGGCAGAAACTAGACGCCCCCCCCCAATATTGTTGAAAAGTTAGTGGAGTTTTTTTGTGTTTTTTTAATAATAACTTAATGTGTTAGTTTTTCCAGTGGCTACATGGTTTTAGAAGGGAAGGGCTTATTTGTATTCCTGAAGTTTAGAGTAAGATAGAATCTCACTGATGCCAACTATGGGGTTTTAAGGTGAAATACACTTCCCACCAGAATTTTTCAAAAAAGAACATCATTACTTTGGGGACAAATAAACAATAAAATATATTTTCTCTTTAAAGATAAAGCCAGAAGGCAGTTAATGTTAAAGATTTTAATCTGAAATTCCCAAAGCATAAAAACTCGGAACTACTGTTCGGTATGTAGCACCAGCGAGAAGCTGTCAACAGATGTGGTACTAAGTGAAGGAAGCAAGTCCTAAGCTTACCCAGGCTAGTAGGTTTAAAAGAATGTCACTAAGTTAATTTTCAGTGACTGCCTCTAAAGGATAGAGAAAACTAGTTTATTTTTACTATTATTGCTTAGTCAGTGAACAGATTTTTTTTTAAGTTAATACAGTTTCTCTTCTTCTGAATGTCAGTCAACAGATTAGATGCGAATTAATATTATCTGTTATTTCAGAATTCACAGTTGGTTCTCCAAGCCAATTGTTTTCCCCTTCTGCACACAGCTGATGCATGTGAACAGGCTCTAAGGACCAACAGAATAGATGGTTTAGGTCAATTATTGTTACTAGCTAGAACTTAGTCCTTTATATGTTGTGAAAATAGCATTTTTTCCATTGCTTATTTGACATCATTATATTACCATTGTATTAGACCTGTTTTGTGTTACATGTTGTACAAACACAACAATGTCTGCCTACAGGTGTTAGAAGAGCCAACTACACATAAATAAAGGAGCAGACAGTGTTGGCCACTGTTCACCAATGATAATAGCATGGTAGCAGTTGCATTCAGCAAAAGCCTTTTAACCCCTCTTCCTTTTCAGGAGAAAAAGGAAATAATTGTGATTATTTACAGATAGGTTTGGTTTTTTTCCTCAAGTGCAATAGACTAGACAGGAAAAAGCAGGGTTTGTTGGGGAAAAAAAAATTACAAGTGAGCAACGGAGGGAGATGATCTAGTTTATCTCTGGAGGCTCCATTGTAAGAATTCCCTTCCCCTGCCCCGCTCCCTCCCCTTTAACTCTGAGGATCAAAGGCTGTGCTCTTCTCCTGAAGTAGCAGGTAAGCACTGTAACACAGTCTTTTCTCCAGATCATAAGAAGAGCTGATATTAATTAATGAAGGTCACACAAGCCTGTAGTACCAGGGTCTTAAGACTGAGTTTTAAGCCAGACTCCTCAGTGTTGAACTGCCGGTCTTCCTGCATGCGGTCTTCCTCAGTTATCTAGTGGTAAGTCCAACATCCGGAGACTGGGTCTTGACTCTTCTTTGGTTAGAAACCAGTTAGATAAGTATACTGAGAACAAAACTACAGGGGCTTCTGAAGTCAGCTGCTTAAGGTAAAGCAAGGAGGAATTTGTGATCCTTTCTTAGCTCAAGGGGCGTGGGTGGCAAGTGTTGTGAAACAGGTGAAAGTTCGCTAGAATTTGAACTCACATGAATAATTGGAATTCCTTGTTGTAATGACTTGCTGAACATGTTTATTTTGAGAGTAGATAAATGGTGAGTGTCTGCTAGTATCTTTCTACGAGTAACTGTGGATTTCACTTTCAAACCTAGGGTAGCTTGGGTAGAGAGTGCTAAAGGTTCTCTTTTCTGGTGCAGCTAGTTTTATTGCCATTGTAAGCCTTTACATGCTGTTTAGACTACTACACACTTAGCAGTTTTTGCTTTTTAATTCATGCCTCCATTTCAAAGCCAGGGATTGTGTTCTTGTCTGACTGTCACTTTTCTTTGAACATGCCACTGTCATAGTCTCTTTCCCAATTTGGGGGAATTTAGAAAATGTGGATCATAATGATGCCATATTACTTTATCTGTTTTATCTTTTGCCTAGTTTTAATATTATTTTTTGTGTTGCTTTTATGATATTTACAAGTTCTGTTCTCCTGAAATATTACGGAAATTAGACCTATTAACAATTAGTTAATATAGTCATAATCTGTTATTTCTAAAGGCTTGGGTACAGCACCAAAGTTGTTGTTGTGTCGTCTTCTCCCCTTTGACCTCACCCGTCCTTCTAGTCCTCCCATTTCTTTAATTTTCTTAGTTCCTTTTAATACTCTTAAACCATTGTTTTCTTTTCCGGTTCTTGGACAACTAGTCTTGAAATACTCTGATTTGTATGTATTCAGCGTATAATTTTGAATGAAGACTGACTGAACTCCAATTGTTGAGATGCAATGATAATTAAGTTCATTAAAATATCAGTAGAGAATTTGGTTTTAAATAAGGTTTTAAAATAACTTTGCCAGCTGCTAAACTGACAGAAATGAAGGCAGTTTGAACCATAGGCAGTGGTGACTCCAAAGCTATTTGTCTACTGGTGCGCACAGCATACCTGGCAAACATGGGTATATATAATAGCGCTCCCTAAGTGAAAAAGGGGTAATGGGATCTACCTCTGCTCAAATGGGGATACAATGATTTGAAGAGTGTTTGATTTGGGATTTTATTGGAAAAGGAATATGGAAGGTGTGGCTCTTTTTGTATCTAGTCATATCTGTAAAAAACGATTTTAGCTAACTTAGAATTTTAGACTTACTTGTATACATATGTAAGTGACTACATAAGGTAGAAATAACTAGGTAGTAAGGCCTTACATGTCTTATCTCTACATGAGACAGTTGATAACTAGAAGCTCTTGCTACTGAGTATAGGAAAGCTACTTATAGTTTAAGAAGCTCTTTTTCAACAGAAGTTTGTGCGCATTAAGTTTAATGCAGTCCTGACTAAGTGATTCTTGTTTTCTTTTTACGATTTCATTAATCGGTACCTTGAATCTTTACACTCAAGTCAGTATACTGAAGGAAGCAAAGCCAGTGCATGATATGTATTGAACCACTTCAAAGCACCAGCTGGCCTACTCAAGTCTGTTTCAGATTGTTTCAGGGAATAAAATAGCGTTGTCACATATCTGGTGGTTGTTTTTCAGAGCTTTACTTGTATTTGAACAGATCTTGCCATTCTGTTAAAATCATGAAACAATGTAATAACTGTTCATCATTCCTCTCTCTTCTCAAAAGCGGAAATTGTCCCATGAAGATTCAGCATAGTACTTCAATATCCAAATATTTATATAAAATTCTTAATATTCAGAATAGCATTTAAATAGCTACACGCATAATATATAGAAAGTTTGTTTCCTGGGAGAGAAGGAATGACTTTTTGACCTCTCTTCCAGTATTGAATTGATGGGGAAAAAATGACTGGAAAAGCTGGGGGGTGGTCGTGGTATGTGGTGGCATGTTTTTTCTTTGTTAGTTCTTAAACTATACTTTTCTACGAAGTTATTCTTTCAGCTTTTGGCTGTTCAGATTCTATTTTTTTGAAATTGTAGAAAGCCCGAGAATTGGAAAATAGGCCTTTGAATATAGGGAGATACTTCAGGAAGTCTTTATTACATGAACAGCTTCTTTGTTTTAAGAAGGTATCACTGCTGGTCTCTGAAATCCCATGTAGTGTGGAGATTTGCCTGTACAAACTTTACAGCCAAATAGGAAAAGGAAGCTTATATTTGCCATTGTTGTGTTCATGATTTGTGAGATAAACCCTTTAGTTGCCAAGAGATCTCACCAGATGGTTTTATTTCTGAAGGCTGAAAAGAGTGAATGCACTCTTAAAGGGCTTAAGTTTTGTGGGTTTTAATTGAATGCTTTCATTTTCTTTTATATCATAAGTTAGTCTGAAATCTCAAATATTTCAGTCGTAAGTGATACCTAAGGAATATCTACCTAGCAACTAACCGTTGTTCTCCAACACTTATGTGAGAGCAAACTTTTGAATTAGGCAGAACTTTTGAATCTCACTTTATAGTTTGTTTTAGCAAACCTTCTGTATTATGTAGAGCTTCTGATGGAAACACTACTGTTATTTGATTTGGTTGTCAGTTTTTTTATCGTCTATGGAACAAGTACACATCTGGTCAGGTTAGGATCCTGGTTTGATTTCTGCTTTAGAACCAATTAAAAGTGGCAAACAAGAATATTCTTATTTTTTGCATATCTCTGTGATCATACAGTACTGAAATACTGAGAGGTAGTACTGTTTCGTTTTACAGTTTTGTTTTTCAGTCTTTCATACCTGAAATACCAGTAAAGAGAGATTTTTGCTGCTTTGTTTAGCTTAATGGCTTACTATATAGAGAATTGTCATAATAGAATTAGAAACTTATCTAAAAAAAGCTGATTGCCATTTCTTTGGCAATAGCATCTTTTTTTCTTTAATCTAGGCTGACAAATGTACCTTTACAAAATGGTAACGAATTCTGTATGTAAAGGAGTTCTTTAACTCTTACTTGTGAACCTTAATTACATTAGTATCCCAAACCACCCTCTGTTTTTATCTGTTGAACTGTAACAGCCTTCAAAGTACATTATATTTGTAGCACTTTTTCTTCAGGACAACCCACTTCTGTATTTAAAGGATACAGTTTGTTTCTCTGTATCTGTCAGTTATACTTTTTTATTCCTGTGCTGTCAACATGTGTTCGTAACATGACATACTTTGAAAAAAGTTAATGAAAAGAAGGTGTTTCTTTTCCTAAAATCTTTTGGGGCTAGTGTTCTGTTCAGTGTTATGTTTTGGAACATTTAAGTGGGAATGCATTTTGAAGAGCAATTATTTAACTTTTTATATACTATTTTTGCTTTTGCAGCCAATAGCAACTCTGTTTGCCAGCTATTCTCACAATGCAAATAAAATGTATTGAAATATTAAATATTTAATCACCCAATATTAGCTAACACTATAACCTGTAGATACATTTTCTTCCACTCTGGAAAATGTTTGCTGCTTCTGTAAAGAATGGATATGCCTCGTTGCATTCTACTGACAGCAAAACATATAATGCTTATTAGTTACATGGAATATACTAATTATTCTGGAACAATCCACAATAGAGTACGGTGGGAAGCAGGCTAGCCCAATGTATGTTTTAATACTGACCTCCACTGCAGTACAGCTACTGAAATAGAGCGGTTTAGCCTTTCGTTTCCAAATGCTGCTTTTTTCTGTGTGACTGTGTAAGGTCAAGTCTACTCTCAGAGCAAGCAGTACCAAAAGCTATAAAAACATGCGTGCTCCGAGACTTTTCCTTCCCTCCCCTCACTCTACCCTCAATTTTTTTTTCTGCCCTCGTTCAATTGCTCAAGTGGAAGTAAAGGATATCTACCTTTAAGTCTAGCAACAGTTGACAAGGCATACAAGACATGGCGCTCCCACATTTTCGTTAAGGAAGTGAGTGAAGAGCAGAAGACACCTAGTGGGTGTGCATTCATGTCCAGTAATGATGTCCACTGGCTTTCTCAAAACAGTTATGCGTAAAACATACACTATGAAGAAAAACGTGGTTTTGTCTTTCACATAGTGGGAAGGCAGGTGTCCTTATATGGGGTTGCAATAGGCTAATATTTAGGGGGTAGGTATGTTTTGGGGGGGTTGTGTTTGGGTTTGTTAGTTTTTTTTTTTCTTTTTGAGGCAATCATAAGATATGAAGACTTAAAGTTCATCAAAATCTCAGTAAATCTACACGTGATAAAATTTGTAAGCCACTATTTGAACTAACTGCTTACAGGTTTGTTTTTCTTTTTCTTTTTTTCCCAATTGATACAGGTGGAATCAAGAGATACTTTAAACAGTATTGCCTTGAAATTTGATACAACACCCAATGAACTGGTTCAATTAAATAAGCTTTTCTCCAGAGCAGTCGTTCCTGGACAGGTACTATTACACTATATGCGTCACTTGTACAACAAAGACCTTTTTCTCTGTATTTCTCATGTCTACCAGAGAAACTGTTAAAGTGCTTCTCTTACTGGTTTTCCTATTGGCTTTGTAAAAGAGTTTTTCATTTTTCTGTAGTTTGTGAATTCCTTGTGCTTATTAAATAACTGCCTAAAAAGGGAACATGTAATGAAGCTACCTGTCTCTCTTAAATAAGATCAGAGGATTTTTAAAACTAAATATACTTAATGGCATAATAACTTGTACTTTGGTACAAGCTAAATTGTTACTTTGCAAATATAGCAGGCTGTTTACCAACTCTAGCTCAGAAGACAAATTCAGGGTACAGCTTACAAACAACATTCCTGACTGCATATTACTGCCTGCAATTCTATTTTAATAAATTGAATAATGTTTCTATTCCACTCTGAAAACTTTCTGTCTTTACCAGCAGTGTATGAACTATCATTCACTTCTTATAGGTTACTATTGCTAACATATTTTTCTCCCCTTTTTTTGCCTTCACTTTCCACTTCTCTTTGAAAGCCAGGCCTGGAAACAAGTGATAGGTCAGCTACGGTATTAACCATTGCCTATTTGGTATTAGCCCTGTGTTTGAAAAAGATTTGGTGTTTATTTCTGATTGCTGCAAAACTTTGTCTAGGTAGCTTGAATGCTTACCATGGTCAAAATAATGTATTTAAGGAGTGAATAACTTCAGTTGATTTTTTTTTTTTTTTTTTTTTTTTTTAATATTCAGTGCTAAGAGCTATGTCTGTGAACTTGTTCCCCAGCCTGTTTCTTGGTTGCTCAAATAGTAGAGTAATAGCAAGAGAAATAATGGGGCAGGTCTTCCTTGGACACTGTATTAGGTGTTTCTGGCATGCTGTATACTTTTAATGCTTTCTATCTGAACTTCTTCCTCAATTATTATGACTAAAAATCAATGTTATCTCAAGATAGCATTTAAAAACTTTAAAAGCTGAAATTAAGTAGTACTTTGTGTGGTATTGTTTATTCCCTCAACTCATCTGTTTACAT